GTAACAAATAGAAGGTTCAGACAACCATGCCTTCTCTCTACTGGGCAGATCACTGGGTTCAGATATGTCTCTCAAGACATAGTGTATAAGATGCAAGCCTCTAAATTCTCATATTAATTCCAGCCCACAATCAATTTTGTTGAGTAACATTTCATGTAGTCTTTAGATTACCTGGATATGCATTAATGAAGAGGTATATAATCAATGAAAAATTTTGTTGGCAATGTAATTGTTGTTAAGTGCCATGGAGTCAGTTCCAACCCATAGCAACCCTGTACAAGGTTTCCAAGTAGCAGCTGGTGAGCTTGAACTATCAACCTTGCAGTTCAAATGGCTTTGTAGTCTGACTCATTAGCCCACAGTGCCATACCAGGAGAACAAAAATAATGCAAAGGTAGAAAAAGATTTCAAGTTATTACAAAATGGAGTTAATAGCAGTAAAATATTAAATGTTGATTATAATTATAGTTGATGTCCTGAACAGTAATTGTGCTCTGTTGTTCGGTGTCATAGAGTTGGTACCAACTAATAGCAATCCAATGCACAACAGAACAAAGCACTGTCTGGTCCTGTACCAACCTCACAGTCATTGCTATAATTTGCCCATTGCTGCTGTCACTGTGTCCATCCATCTCGTTGGGGGGTCTTCCACATTTTCTCCAACCTTCCACTTTACCAAGCATGATGTCCTCCTCCAGGAACTGGTTCTTTCTGATAATAAGTCCAAAGTATGAAAGACGAAGTCTGGTTTCCAAGCAGTATTCTGGTGCTACTTCTTCCAACACAGATTGATTTGTTCTTTTGGCAATGCATGGTACTTTTAATATCTTCTCCCAACACAATAACTCAAATGTATCAATTCTTCTACAGTCTTCTTTATTCACTGTACAACTTTCACATGCATATGAGGTTATTGAAAATATGATGGCTTAGATCAGGTGCACCTTAGTCCTCAAGCTGACATCTTGACTCTTAAACACTTTCAAGAGGTCTTGTGAAGCATATTTGCCTAATGCAATCCATCATTTGATTTCTTGACTGCTGCTTCCATGAGTAGTGATGGCTGATCTGATCAAAATGAAGTCTTTGACAACTTCAATCTTTTCTCCGTTTATATGGATGTTGTTTACTGGTCCAAGGTGAGGAGTTTTGTTTTCTTTACATTAAGGTGCAACCCATAGCAAAGACTTTGATCTTAAGTCCTCTTCAGTTTCAGTAAACAAGGTTGTATCATCTCTATATCACAGGTTGTTAAAGAGTCTTCCTCCAGTCCTGATGCTGCTTTTCTCTTCATATAACCCAGTTTCTTGGATTATTTTCTCAGCATACAGATTGAATAAGCATGTTGAAAGAATACAACCTTGGTGCACACCTTTATAATTTAAAACCATTTGGCATTCCCTTGCTCTGTTTGAACTGCCTCTTGGTCTATGTACACTTTAATCATGAGCATAATTAAATGTTTTGGAATACTCATTCTCCATAATGTTGTCCATAGCTTGTCATGATCCACACAATCAAAAGCCTTTCCATACTCAATAAAGCACAGGTAAACATCTTTATGGTATTCGCTGCTTTCTGCCATGATCCATCTGACATTAGCAATGCTATCCCACATTTCATGTCCTCTTCTGAGACCAGCTAGAATCTCTGGAGTTCTCTATCAATGTATGGTTGCAGCCATTTTTTAAATTATATTTAGCAAGATTTAACTGCATGCAATATTAATGATAATGTCCGATGATTTCCACATTCGATTGGGTCACCTCTCTTTTGGATGGGTACAGATATAAATCTCTTCCAGTCAGTTGACCCAGTTGTTGTTTTGCAAATTTCTTGGCATAGATTAGAGTGAGTGCCAACTCAGCTACATCAGTTTGTTGAAAGATTTCAATTTGTATTCCATCAGTTCC